TAGGACCATAGAGGAATGCCCTGGACGCATCACAGTGCAAGCAACTCTCGGGACCTATCTAATCCCTGACCGGCCGAAACCCACCATCAAAGCCAGTAGGAAGGGGACCGCCAGCAAGCTGACGGGTGAACCCAAACCACCCATTTCCACCAGTACCCCATCGAGGCCCTCCCATTGCTGGGAAACCAGGGATAACCAGGGCGATAGGTCCCCAGATTAGTGATGGGAGAATCGAATACTTTAAAGAATCGAATACCGTGAATTCGTAGCCTCCCCTGTATTCGAATACTTGTATTCGAACACCTTTGAGTATGCAAAGCATGGAAAATGAGTGTGTAATTCTTTTTTCCCGTTCTTTTGGCCACTGTTATTTCGTTTTACAGTAATTAATTCATTAATATAATTTATTCTATGTAATTTTAAATTATATGATTTTTAAAAGGTACATTTATTTTGACTTATAATTATTTCGTGGTCAGTTACAGTCTTATTAATGTATTATTTTCTATCATATTAACTAATTAATATCTTAAATAATATGTCTTATTCATTTGTATGGATAATTTACATCAGATATGCATGTTATTTTGCCATGTAACTATATAAATCGGTTGTAGTTATAATAAATTCTATTCAATTGCCCTCTACCAGTAGTAACCTAATATTTTAAATTTCCAATATATTGTAAATGTTAACGATTAATAATAATCTTATGTAAATTATAGGGCTAATGGTAAAACTATAACGAATAGATGAAAACAAAATGCTGCAGTAAAAACATTAAATACTCTAACGAATGCTACGGATTCGTAAGATATTCAAAAGGGAATTCAGTAGTTGAAAAAGTGTTGAATACATTTTTGAATCCCCCGAATTCGCTTTCTAGATGCAAGAAATCCTGCAAAATCTGAGGTCAAGAGTATTCACAAAAAAGTATTCGTACGAATCTGAAGTATTCGAATCTACGAATACTCGGGCTGTATTCGAATACTATTCGATTCTGTATTCGATTCTCCCATCACTACCCCAGATACCCCTAGCGGGCTTGATCCCAACACCCGACCTACTTCGTTTGCCCATCAAGCCCAACATCACTGCCAGGCCCTCAGGGTTTCCCAAAAGGAGGCAGGTTTAGAAGTGGGACCCACCCGGGTGAACCTATCCACAAAAGGTGGCGACACCCTCAACTCAATTGAGGTTCCAGGGAGAACCCCCCACACTCTAGATAACCACAGAAACAACTTTGGATTGCAGATACCTTACTCTAATTATCGTAAACAGATCCCACACTTCGGACAGCTCGCATTAACTACTTTCTTCACCACTTCCTACGTCGCGGACCTTTTTCCCTCCCTTCCCATTGCATTTTAGGGTTGTAGATAACTTAATCTAATCGTCACAAACAGTTCCCACACTCCAGACTGCTCGCCTTTACTACTTCCTTCATCACAGACCTGTTTCCCTCCCTTCCCATAGCAGTATAGGATTGCAGATACCTTAATCTAATTGTCATAAACAGTTCCCATACTCCGGACTGCTCACCTTTACTTCCTTCATCACTTCCTCATTATAGGATTGCAGATACCGTAATCTAATCGTCATAAACAGATCCCACACTCCACACTGCTACCCTTGACTACAATGTATCGAGTAATCTTCAGTTTAATATTTGCTAAATAGTAACAACTGATGTTTTTCCTTTTGTATTGTATTTTGTAATTTGCTAGTATACTGTGGATAGACAACTTACATGTCTTTTGTTTACTTTTTCCTTGTTATTTAATTCAGCCAAGATGGTTACTTAGCAACCCGCAAGACTAATGTAAAAAAATGTGACTTTCAGTTTCATTTTTCTACGTAATTAGATTTTTGTTGGCAGTTCTAACTGCAGTAAACTCGTTTTTAGGCCAGTAATAAACTATTTACAACATTTGAAGAAAATCGTCGTAGCCGTTTTTGAGACTTTGTTCAAGCATACATACATACATACAAGCAAACATTGCTCATATTAGAGAATACGATTGAACCAGGAATAAATGTTGTAAAAAAAAACAACATAGGCTACATACAACACATAACATACAAAAAACCCCACAACATACGTAACATTCCGAAATACAACAGTGCAATCACATCTCAACTGATTTGGCTTTTTTACAACAAATGCTTTAAAGCCAAGTCCACACATGGAAACTTGAGTCGGCCGACAACACAGTTTACTAGCGTCTCATTTTCCCCTTTTTAGAAACTGATGAGAACCTTTTCTGCGAAAGAGTGGGGGATTGTGGGAGAGCCCCTCACGTCAATTAAAGAAAATCTTTAAATTTATTTTATAATATTTTAGTTTGAAAATAAACTTTTTAACTATAAAATTTTTAATTGTAAAATTAAACTGTCATAACCTAACCTAACCAACCAAACTTGCTGATAATACTAGTATAAAAAAGATATAAAAAATTAAACTGCCATAACCTAACCGAACCAACTAAACTTGCTAATATAAAAAATATACAAGCTAAAGTTAAAATCTAATGAAGGTCTACTAATTTAAAAAAATAGTTCTGTTCATAAATAAAATTTTAGATGCCTCAAATTCAACAAAAGATCTACAGTTAGTATTCGCAATCTAAGCAAAACCTTGGACAAAAAGTTTGTGTCACTGGCGGGATTCGAACTGGGGTCCTCCAGATCATGGGTCCGAGACGCTATCACCTACGCCACGAACACCGATGGAATCATATCGTCTCGTTACGGTAATGGTGTTCCCTAAAGAGCAGAGTGACGTCACGCCGGTACACGTCTGTCCTGTACTGTTACGACTGATTGGCACCACCCCTTTCTTGAATGAGGTCTACAAATACTAGGTGTACAACGCAGTTTTCTGCTTGCAATATTGAGTGGAGCTGGCATCTTATATACTAAAAAACTTTTGCAAAACTTATGACAGCTAGCCTGACCATACCACTGGATCGAATTATACGTGGTTGTACCAAATGAAAGATATTTACATGTAGATGTGCAGAATCCCTTTATAAAATGAATAAGGCTCACAAATAAGCACGAAAAATGCATTTGAAATCTTTAAAAAAATATCATGGGTCTTATTGGTTGCCATGGTGATGACGAAATAACGGCAAAATATAAACAGAAAATCAAAACAAATGAAAGATATTCCAATCACATGTTTTATTTACAGTGTATGGGGAAAATAGAGAAAACTGTACATTACATATTTTTGGATGGGTTTTCAACCACGGGGCGACCTCTATGAACATATTATATAAAAATACTTATGGAGACTTTTCTTACGGAGATTTAACATGGGACAAAATTTTAAAGCTTACGATAGCTAGCCTGGCCATACTACTGGACCGAATTACACGCGGTTGGTCCCAAAGGTAATTGTCCCTATACTTGTCCATTTTGCTTCGATTTCAGATATTACTTGACTAAGTGTAATAAAAACAGAAATTAAAAAAATCTATTGATAATTTAACATGGCGTAAAATTTTAAGTCTAATATGAGTGAGATCTGGAGATGGACAGATTTATATGCAGGTTGTGTTAAATGAAATGTTTCCCACGTGCCTGAAAAGTTTACTATTCCTTTAGTGAATCTTACATATTAAAAAGCTTTTGGAAAACTTATGACAATTAGCCTGACCATATTACTGGGCCGATTTACCTGTGGGTTGTTCCAAAAGAAGGTTATGGAAGAAATTATAATCGCATGTTTTGTTTACATCGTGGAGTTAAAATAGAGAAGTTTGCACAATACATACTTTTGGTCAAGTTTTTGACCACGGGGCGAGCTCTCGTATTAATCTAATCCTTTTCTTAAGTCAATGCTACATCTGTTCCTAGTGAATGAGATTAACTACTTGCAGTATTCAAGTAGAGATGATATTCAAGTAGAGACTGTAAATAAACAATAATGTTTTTTGTAAAAAAAATACAACCGACTTCAAACGCTCTAAAAAGAATGAAATAATTTGAATAAAGTAAAACTTTTGAATTAGTCAAGGTGTATTTTCCTTAGTGTATTTAATACTTCAGTAGTATGTTTTATGTACTAGTCCAAGGTATTTTGATCAATTTTAATATTTCCATAAATAATTTGACGAATTGTAGACCTATAATAAAATAGTATATGAAACTTAGTTGATGTTTATGTTAGTAATTATAGTTTGTATAGTTATTTATTTCAATCCAAGTCAGTCTGTAACATACCTAAACACTAGCACAGATTTAAGATATAAATCAGAAATTGATTAATCGTTATACAGTTTTCTACAAAACAATATAATTTGTGGGAACAATTACTTTAAGATAGCTATTTAGTGGAATAGATCATTCCAATTCCATAGTGGGACGGTCAGCCAGTTCTGTCACCCGACCAGGTTACCGAGTTAATTCCATCGTCTCTCATTGCTGGCAGCAGGGTGCAAACAAGACAGGTCTGGGAAACTTTTATTTAGCTAAGCCAGAGTTTTTCTGTGACTTAAAGGATCTTAAAATGAAAATCCATTACTTTTCAACTTCAGTGACCCCCTAGTAAAATCATTTGAGTTTTCCGTGACTGGCACACACCCTGTAATCTTATGCCAGTTTGGACTATTCCCCCTTCCAAACACCTAGGCCTTATACTGTTTTGTCCTTACGTTTACTTTTATTAAATCAAGATTTGTTTTGGTCAAGGATGACTTTTCAACAAGCTCTGCTGGAGCCACTGTTCACAATGTCACTTGAAATGAAATGAAAATCTTTTTCTTTATTGAGGCAAACTTAGGACCTCATGGTCTTTTCTTACATTAAACCTCTAAAAAAACTAATAATAACAACAAAATATTAAAAAAATACAATACAGTTAGTAACATAGCAAGTTATAAAATAGCATAATTTTTTTCATTGTTATCACTTACAGCAGGCCAAGATTGTCCATGACAATTCAAATACCCATTTGACTTATTAAGGTGCTTAACAAGGAAAAAAATAAAAGATTTATTGAAAATGGCTTTTAATGTTAGAGCAGCAGGTTCTGCACACATTTCACATGGACGTCGATGGGTACGGGACTTCCTACATACTAAAACATCACTGTATAATAAAATCCTAGAAAAAGATTTATTACGTCACCAGTAATATTTCCAAAAAGAAAATATCCACGAAATCTATCAACTAAAAATACAAACAAGTATGTTAAATTGTACATGAAAATATATAAATACACAAATATAATCACAAAGCACTCCCGAGTGCAGTCATTTTGCAATTGTCTTGCAACCACATCACTGAACTTGATTGGAATGATTCGATGTGGCTTTGGGCGAAATAATCAACACGTACTCTTATCTGAAACAACATAAATAATATATGAAATATTGGAGATAAGAAAAGTTGACAACAACCTAGGTACAAATAGCAAAGGGGTCCAAGTGTGGCTTGTTTTTAATAGAATATTAATAGAATATTTTTACGCCGCTACGATGCTTTATATTTTCATTGAATAAAAAAAATGTCAAGTGTTCATGTGACACATTTATCAACAATGTAATGTTGTTTGCTATGTCCACTATTTATCTGATTATTATTACTGGCTAGCGTGAGAGAAGTCTTCTTTTTAGGAAAATAACAGAACCACTAGGCTTATGAGAAACTATTTCTATATTCATAAACTCACATAATGACAGATGGCTGTTGGTATTATTTCGACACTGAATTAGAGTGACTGCTAATTTGGTATGTAGAAAATAATTACAGTCTTTAGTTAAACAAGGATAAATGAATACTAGGTATTGTTTTCCTTAAAACCTACATAAAAGAATTATTTGTTTCTTATGAAACTAGCAAGTTTTCCTGTGACAACTTGGACTTCAGTAGGCTTGAGGCTTGATAACATGAAAGAACATAACAGTTAAATATTTAGCATAGAAGAGTCACGGAAGCTCTCCTATTACCTATAGAATTGAAGAGTAAGTAAAGTGATTGAAAGACTATCATGTCTAGGTTTTAAGCTTTTATTGCTAGACACATTTTGAGTGCCAAATAAATCAATTTATTGATGTGAATGAATAATATTGTGAACAGATAAATAATTAATATAAGATGGCCTCACAATGAAACAGTCCTCTTATACTACTACATAATTTTAATGTGGCCACATTACTTAAGAGTGAATTATGTCATCCCACACCCCCACCTGTGTTAGAGCAATCATAAAACCAACATGCATAATACAAGCCTAGATAATTAACTTGATTTACATAGCCAAAAGTGAAACCATATTTTATTATTTTTGAACAACTTAAAGAAATTTTGAATAATTGGAAGTGTCACAAAAGGCAAGGGGTAAACACAGAAGGAAAGAGTTAAAGGCGGATTAACTACTCACCAGACATAAAAAAATGACAAATGAGGGTAGAGAGAGAGAGTGTTGTCTAGTAGGGCGTGTGACGCTGCCCCCTACCGCCTCCCCGCTGCTTTCCGCCACCGTACCCTGCTGCTGAAACAATTGGCACTTCACTCATTGTCCTATACAGGGTGTTCATAAAAAACTGTACATCTAACTTTGTACCCATGCTGTTTATTAAAAGTAGGAGTTTGTTAATGTTAACAAATAAATAAGAGGTTGTGACTAACTATGCCTGGCACAAAAAGACTTAACTTTAAAGAGCTATTATCAAGGATTTGTAAGTGTGCTTAGTTAAAAGATACAAATTTACACACCCGAATTTATGAAATAATAGGCCTATTAAGTAAATGAAGTCCAAGATGAACAATGAGTGAACGTTCAGGAATTGTCTAAAATCAGCAGAGATCTAGACCTGGCGATAAGAGTAACTAGATTGGACTGAACATTCTCATAGCTCTACACTCGTAAATGCGTATACATCCGACTCCCTCTTATTCAATCTCCTTGGGACCGAGGCTAGTCCATTTAACGGTTTTCTTGGTTGAACCGACGTTATAATAGCAATGTCTAATGCATAAGCCAACGTTTATTATTCCCAAATCTTTCCCAAGAGTCGTTTCAGTACCTCTAAGTAGTTTCTGTACTGCCCACTTCCTGCGAATCCAGTTTGGTTAAATCGCGTCCCCAAAAGAGGGAGTCTAATGTAGTAATTTCAGAATTTCGTTACAAGATTACAAATGTATTTTACAATCACTTCTTCAAAAATGTCCTTTTACTATGACCCTTTTAGTTATATACTAACAATAAAAGAAAAAGTTAAATCTTGATTTGCGGAAACCAATCTTAACCACAATTTATAATCATAAAAATGCCTACATACTTTACACCCGCTTTCTGTTCACAACCTTTAGTCGTACTAAATAAAAGCATTGCAATAGCATCAAGGGACTAACACCGTAGCTATATTCACTAACCCTTTGTCAAGTGTAAAAACCAATCTTTTTTAACGTTATGCCTAAAAAAATGAAAACATCAAACAAAAAACAGTGAATTTTGATTGTAGCCACAAGTATTTCAAAGGTTTTTTAATGTAGCCTACAGTTTTGTGACACCCTATATTACATGTTAATTAAGTTGTAATATTTTGTTGTACTACATACACAGTCACCTTGTAGATGTTAATATACAAGGTGGTGAGCCACAAGTATTCAAGTTCTTTTTTAATGTACAGTTTTTATGACACCCTATATTACATGCTCATGAAAGTTATGATATCTGTGTACTATATACAGTCACCTTGTAGATGTTAATATACAGGGTGGTAAACACTTTAACATGAGGTATGATCAAAAATAAATTTCAAATGCAACATACTTTTTTTTACAATAAAAATATTCCATCCCAGTCTTTAAATAATTATATAAAGCAGGTAGCCCACTAGTCCGACGCTCTCTGATCCGATCCGTCAAGTCCCCGACAAAATTACTTTAAAAGGCACTACTCCCGAAGCTCTCTGCAAAGATTAGTTCCGATCCGACACCTTACTCTCTGGGGCATTGTTGTCAGACATCGAATCTGATTTTTCTCTCCAGTCTTCGTGCACCAGGCCTAGATTAGTAACTGTCTTGCTTCGTGTGTGACATTAGTGTAGACAAACTTTTGATGGAAACAGTTTGGAAGTGTCCCATTAGTACATAAATTGTGGACCAGCTATTATGAAAAAAGATTATGCGAACCGGATGGATAAATAATGACTTTTACTACTCGGGCAGCCAAAATTAACAAAAAAGCCTGAAAAATCAATTTCTCGTTTTGCTAATGACCTAGAGCCCGACGGACCAATGTGTTATTGCCTTAAAAAGTGCAGAAGGAGTTGGACTCGGTCGGAGACTGAATGGAACGTATTGGAGAGCATAATAGTGGGTTTCCTGCTTAAAAATTCCCAAAAAAAGGAAAATAATGGGGAAGATCAATTATGCCAAGAAGCAGTAACAACTATAACCCAAATTACAGTTGTGCTAAAATATTAATACTCCTCCAACGCAAAAAATGGCAGTTTCTTTTTTAGGTTAAGTAAATTAATGATTTACTGCATTAAGTTAAAACAAGTTCATGTTTATAGTGTTTCAATCAAAAAAATTTGATTGATTAAATTAATAAATAATTCAAAATACTTATAAACATATTAATAATGGTATACCTTTGATGGTAAAATCAGAATTTTACTTTTATAGAAGATATGATTTACCAACAACTCGATAAAAACACAAGTATGACAGATCGTAAGGCACTGATGGTATTGATGCAATCCTCTAGTAACTGAGAAAAATAAGTATAATAATACACATTTTGGGAGAAAAAATTACTCAATGAATAAAATATTATCATGTTATAAATGCAATTCTTATTGTTTGAATTGTCATTTTGATAAAGAAAATGAAATAGTTGAAAACGTAGTTTGAAGTTATCAACCAAGAATCTTACTATCACTCTCAGCACAAAAACACTTGAGTCAAGTTTACATTCGTTCGACTAGTTGAGGAGTTGAAACTCCCATACAAACAGATAACTTGTAAGGGAAGCTACATTTTTTGACTTAATAACTAGCAAAGTAAAAAAGTAATACTTTAAAAACAATCACACAGTAAAAAAACATTCACGGAAATTAATAAAAAATGAAAAGCTACCACACAACATCAAGTTCATCCAATTTAATTTTAGAAAACAAAATTTATAAACCAGCACCATTATTTTACTTAACGGTATATCTGTGAAAATTCCCACTAAACCAAGCATGTTATAAACTCTCACTTACTTATATGTTTGCACGATTCGATCACACCAGTATGAATAATTTGAGCAACACAGGTTTCAACCAAGAACTTGGCTTTCTTAAATTTATCCTCATGTCACTTACATTTTGGATCAGTCGCCAAGAGTCTCCAGCAGCACCAAGAAGTGACACGATTCATTTGTCAAGAACCCCCCTCCCAATGAGATAACCTGGTATTAGTAGGAAACACACCAACAACATACACATGCAGGAGGTTGCTACAGAGGGATAGGAGCAAGAAAAGGATCGGGCGACCAGACTTCGTACAGTTTTTAGAAGAAAATCTTCCAAATAAGATCGTCTACAAGAATTTAAGCGTTTCAATGGTTTCACTATGTAATGAAATAAAGCCTGCTATGTAACCAGCAAATAATTAATTGAAATTACCTTTTCCTCTGCCTCCTCTGGGAGCAGGAGCGCCATACCCTGCACCGTAAGACTGGTCGTACCCTCCGTAGCCACCATCTAAAGACACAACAAAATGATTATAGATCACTATTGTACATTACAAGGGAAGTAGGCCTATTTCCTAGAACAAGTTACCAATCAATGTTGTAAATTGGCCCTTATATTGGTTTGCATCGGAAGGCTAATTGAATCTACCCTTCATATAACTTTCGGAGTAGTTGCAATCTGAATGGTCTTAATGACAGGCATTTACATAAAACCTTCTGAACCGTAGATTTTGGTAAGCCAATTTCACGACCTGCCTAGTCTAATGACTGTCGAGGCCTTTGTTCGAAGCACAGTCTTACCCTAGTGGTACCTCGGGCGACCACAATTTTTACGTTTCAGCAGACTTCCAGGGTATTTAATCTGACGATGAAACCATAAGACGCTTTAGTGTTTTGGCAACTTTCCCTTTAACACCTGCGAAAGTCAAACTCAAGACTTTCTTTTATGTACAGGAAAAAGTCCTGTCCTGTCCCGAAAATTGGAAAGGAAATAAAAATCCCGTCCCAAACTAAAAATTCAATCCCGTCCATCCCCAATTTGAATACAATGTTAACAACCTGAGAAAAGAATGAGTATCAAAAAGTTGAATTTAAGCATTCTGTTTAATATAAAACCTAAACTGAAACTAATTGGTGCTAAATTTAAGTTCTAACAAATTTAGTGATGGGCCGATACAGTATGATCGCATACATTTATGTATTACAGTTGATTTAGCACTTTACGAAGACTGCACATAATGGGTGTACACAATTACTTACCACCATATCCTCCATAGCCACCGTAGCCAGTGTAGTCATAGCCACCGTAACCTCCTCCATAGTTGCCATAACCTCCGTAGCCACCTCCGTAGCCATCATAACCTCCACCATAGCCTGCAGAATAATCTATATGATAAAACAACATTCTAACATAAGACAAATATCCTAAAAATGCCAAATAAACAAAATTACTAAAAATATACTCCAGCACATGGCTAGAGTTTCAATAGTTGGCAATTTGCTAGCTATAGTCCATAAGAGTTTAAAACATGTGGTTCAACTTTATTTAAAGCATGGTAATATATTTGACTATTAATACAAATAGTGTCTAAAACTCTATTTTGTACATTATTTTTTGTTACTGACATAGTTTCTGGGTCACTACAGTTCATTGCTATAGCTCATAATAAGTCATTCCATCAGTTTGACTTGGTACAAATCATCGTGTAATTGGCAGAAATCAGTAATTTATATCAGTGCAATCTTTAGGTGGCTCACATCAACTAAGACAAATTTGATCAAAAACCTGGTGACAACTTTAACATGGGGATGGAATGTCTAGTTGTATTAATAGTCAAAGGTAATATGTACTGTAATATGTATAAAGTACTTTTATAAAGCTGAAATAGACCTTTTCCCAATTTTAAGGGTCTGGATTAGTACGGTTGGTTGTGTTAGGTATGTCTGAAAAAAGTGCAAAAGTAGATCTAGTCCGGTCAAACTGATGTGCAGATAAAGATTGTCCAGATAAAGAAATGTCACTTCTACAAAGTGTAGTCCAGTTAAAAGGTGTCCGGATAAGAGGGAGTCTACTGTATGTTTATTGTTGGATTAACCGTGGTTTTCATTGCTTTTCAGTTATCTGTGGTCTCTCTCCTTCCATTACATGAATAATCGAGGTTCTACTGTAGATGTATTATATCAACAAGATTAAGCCCCATCTACAAACCGTAACTAGTACTAAATAGTATAATACTTTTAAAATAGCTGAGGGGGGCATAATGTCATAAACTTTTTTGTTAATTACCAAGTCCAAAACCAATCATTGGCTGCGTCCCCTACCTTTAAAACTGCTGTAGGTCCAAAAGTAATCTTCACTAGAACCAATATTACAATTTTAAGTATTAAGTTCTGGTGAATACTGTACTTTTGAACCATAAGCAGTTTGAAGCAACAGAAACGTAGTAAATTTTCATTTTTGGACCCTGAGTAATTAAATTAACTACTGAAATTAAATACAAGTTTTTAAATAGTATAATGTAGTTGTAACATCTTCATTTTTGTCATAGCCTATTGCAGATATTTTTCTGGGCAGAAATATTTGCCTTTTCAACATTGATAGGAAATAGTATAGAAAGATTAGTCTTTTTAGTTCCCGCAAAAAATAGATTCCTATCACATGAACAGGTAAAATACAAAAATAAAACTAGAGAAAGGGGGCTGGCGTGTTGTTATTTTTTTAGTGTGAATAAAGGAGATTGTAAACTTTAACCGTGGAATTATTATATGGCACTGCGACAATAGCTTACTCCTATATTACGAATTTCTGTCAAATTCAATGTTAATTTAACGAACCTTGTTTTTGAGAATACCCCAGTATAAATATATATTTAGACCCTTTAAATTGGTTTAACCGAGGTTCCACTGAATATGCAGAGGGGATACGTTATATCACAGAATAAAATAAAATATCAGGGCAGGGGAGATGGCAAGTCACAGGGTGTATTTAAATGCCTTAAAATATAAAAGACACCATTGTCCTATTCATTCCTACATTTGTTAAGTAACAGCAATTCATTCATTTATAGACTGTGATTGGAGCTACAGAGATTCTAAACATTTATTACTGCACAAGGACCGTCTCTTTCAAAAGTGAACTTCACAATGAAATGCATAGGCCTACTTCTAGAAAAAGACTGAAAAAATCTCATCAATTTGGAGCTAAAGAAACGCCTTTGGGACCTCTGAAATAATATATTTAGAACTATTGCAACAAATAATTAGTTTTGGAACTACTGTAATTAGACCCTGTGCATTAATCACTCCAAACCTAGAATAATTTTCTAAAAATGTAAGATGATATTACTCAGATAATATTCAAGGCAAAAGATGTGTTAGTATATTCAAACTCGGCTTTTAATAGAATTTCATCATGCATATCTAGGATTATTGCAGTCAGTGAACCCCATGCTACTGGCTACTTGACAAAAGTCCAGCAAACAACAAATTCTTAAACATCATCTATCCCAAATACATTTACAATAATTAATACTTTGTATGGAAGGAGACCCAGTAATGTGAATCATGTGCTTGTGAGGGGGCAGGGAAGTGGGGGGACTCATTGTTATACGAGATGTCCAGTGAAACCTTGAGTTAGTGAAGATTTTGTGTCACAGTGAGAAATTTGTGGTAAAATAACTTATTGCAGTTATCAAACATGGGCAGATAAGAGAGTGACGGATAGGCAAGATTTTTGTTTTCTTTGAGGAAATCTGCTATGGAATCACGATAGTGCCCTGCAGACTGATTGGGATACTGCTCTAGGTCGAACCAAACCTCATAAGCGTTCTTAAGAAAATGTCAATTTTGAACCAACCCGGTTCAGGAAACTCTTCTCCATTGTCAAGAAAGAAGTAACACCGTCAATGTAATCAATGTAAGGTGCCTGGAGGAGTTCAGTGGATTGGAACTAAGATTTCTCACTTTTTACCTTTATAGGTCCAAATTTTACCTAACCTAATAATGAAGTCTGGCTGGCAGACTCCTCACAAACAAAACAAAATCTGCATGAAACTGTTTTTATGGGACATGAAAATCAAATTTGCTGTGAAGGAGAATAGGACTATTAAAAAATTGACACTAGGCTATGGTCAAATCATACCAGTGGAACAATGGAAGGATAAGTTTGTTGTGGGCAATTAAAGTACAGTAGAACTTAGAACGTAGAACTAGAACCAACCGGGCAGTGGATTAACCGTGGACAATAGATTACTCTAAAATCATGTTACATAATCTTACTATCCAGAAAATTTTATTAAAAAATAAATGATTAAGGTGTAGTTTTGTTATCTTTATTAACTTATTGTTATATTATTTTACCTCAATTTGATACTTTTTTTAATGAATAATCTAATGTTTTTTTTATCATCATCATTATTCTGCCCTGAAATAGCATGTAGCAGTAGTAGCCTATGCTTTTTTACGTCATGTTGGATTAAAAAACCACTGTGGTCTCCCTCCCCGTCCATTACCCCGGATATCAAGGTTATGCATTACTTTGAAGGTGACAAAAATTGGGTGTGCAAAATAAAATTGTAAACCAATTCCTGTTAGGTCCCCTTCTGAGAAAACTTAAATCTAAATTAACACACAATCACAAATTAGTTTAGGTATGAATATAAAAAATACGCACCGTAGCCTCCATAACCTCCCTGGCCGTAGCCTCCTTGAAAACCTACGACAGAACAATATCTTTAAGAGATCTTGCTCTTTGTAATTACTAATTGATTATCAACAACTTTAGAATATAATGATTGATCAAATGTTAAAGAAAATAAATTATAAGTGAGACTTGAGACAACGGTGCGCAATTCATGTTTACCATTAGTAAACCATTATTTATAACTTAGCTTATATCAAGTTAAAACTAATTCTGACTGTCAGAACTAGTTTTAACCAACAGTAATGAAGTAAGAATATATTTGAACGCCTTAGCAATAGGATAGTAAAAGCCTAGAAGTATGTTTATAAACACATAAATTAATACGTTTGTGAATTGTTGGGACGTATTAATGCTGCTGCCGAACCGTCACAATTTTTACAGAAACATTGAAACCAAAATGAGAGAACCTAAAGTACTTCTTAAAGGTATGAACATTGCAAGTAATCTTCTAAAAAAAACTTCTTTTGTAATATGGGGGCAGTTCAGAAAGTAGAGCAACGCTCCTGAATGAAATATAAAGTTTGAAATAAAAAATCTTTTAAGAGTAACAAAATTATGTAATTTTCTAAATAGGCTAGTGTTTTGAAACAAAATAAGGCACTTGGTCAAATTTTAAATTCCTTTTCTGTAGAATTCCGCAAAAAAATCTAAATTTTGGCAAAAAAAAGTGCTCGAGGTCACTGGAGTGAATCAGAGAAAACCTCCCACTTAAAAGATGGAAGGAGATGGTGTCTGCGATTTGGATTGTAAGGTGGGGTGTTTCATGCAAACACACAATTATGGACTTTTAACTTTTGTTCAGCCACTTTGAAACTGAATACACCAATTCCGGACAGAAATTCATTGATCTGTAAAATTCACGGGCTTAACAAAAGATTTCTAAATGTTTTAAGTTTATAGCCAACAAAAATTGTAGGGCAGTTACATTAGGCACTACACAACTGGCGGTATTTCCAATTGCAGCATATATTTTTTTAACATTACGAGAATGGGCTGCAACACAATTTCGCTGTGACAGCTGGACATTAAATAGACACCCACTTCTGTACTAGAAAGTGTGCTCATATCTAAAACAGAAGTGCAAGCCACTGTCCAAAATTGTATTTCCTCCCTTAGTTATTATTACTGGATTTAATTGTTGACATGACATGTGGCATAAAAGATAAAAATAAGCTATCCTATTGAAAATTTGGCATATTCAACAGTAATTAACGATTTTTATCAGCGCACTAGTTTGGCGGTTCAATTCAACTACGTCCATTACAACTCGGCACTTGAGAATGGACAGTATGTATCTAGTTCTATGAGTAGTCAAAGGTTCCCCGTGCATTTACCTCCTCGGCCCCTGCCTCTGCCTCCTCGGCCACCACGACCTCCTCTCATACCCCCCATGCCATCAGCCTTGGGTGTTGCCCTCTTCACATCAACCTGAACAACCAAAAATAAAACATTAGGTTTAAGAAAAACTTTTTGCAATGAATTAAACTCAAACAAAGCTATACAGTAATACCCAACATTATGTCACTTTTATGGTTGTGGGAAATGTACAATGAAAACTTATAAAGTAAAAAATCTGAGTGCTTCAACTTACCTCCTTGCCGTTGATTGACTGCTTGGGTGTTTTCAGAAGCTCAGAGACAACCTGCTCTGAGTCAAATGTGATAAAACAGAATCCTTTTCTTTGGTTTTTCGTCTTGTCATAAGGCATTTCAACTTCAACAATCTGAAAATACAAATATACTTTAAATAAAGATACGAGCAAATTATGATTAACTAAGCAAAAGAAAATAGTGTTAAATATTGTTAAAAATTCAATCAAACCTTTATAAATAAATTGTCTGTTTCACCTTAGTCTCTCGATTAAACTGAATTATATATTTAATTCTTAACACTTGCTATACAGTGTAAAACTGTCCAAAAGCAAAAAGACATTATTATTATTAACCTTGATAACTCAGCAAGCAAATTTTTTCATTGAATGAAACTAAATTCAACTGTTTTAATTAAAATCAGCTGCGTGTAAGGTTAAACAAACATGTTTTTCTATGTAATTACTTGAACATGTTCAACTTTTCAGCGCTGCCTACCCTCCGCTGGCAGTTACGTGACCTCCTCGCTGGTGGCAGCCAGCCAATGTGAACCCCTAAGCTCATAAGAGGCTAGTAAACTAACATGAGTTTAGATTTCTTGTTTGTTTATGCAATGTTAGTTTCATTGTAATGCATTTTATACTTATGTTTGTGAATATTAAACATGGTCGACACCAACAAGTGGTCAGGAAAGGACATTGTAACATGTCTAGATTTATTTCAAAATTATCCTTGCCTGAGGGATGCTTAGTCTACCAACTACATTGACAGGAATACCAAAGCCGCAGCTTATAATTAGTCATATCAAAGTCAAAGACTTGAAGAACGAAGAATAAAATCAGCTTTGGTCTTATGAAAGAGAAAAAAGTATACGTGATTACGTGGAGAAAGTATACGTGAAGTTTAAATTGTAAAGAAGTCAAAGAATAGTGGTGATGTCTAAAAACTAACGGCTTTTACTGGCAGCTAGTAATTATAATGTGAACCCTACAGATCCGCTGGGTGCTGGCGATGTTTACCAGTGGCTGCCAAACAGCCTAGTGTGACCGAGGCTTAGATGTAAAGAAACAGGGTGGCTAGTTTATTTCAATTTGAAAATGCAAGACTAATTCCAGACTTATCAAGACTAGTTTTAAACAATTAGTGAGTGTCGATACCAAAATTTATCAATTCTCGATTCTTGATACCGATACCAATTTTTGTAGTTTAACCTAATTTTCTAAATAATTTGGTTATACAGTAGACTCACTCTTATCCGGACTCCTCGGGACCGAGGCCTGTCCGGATAACGGTTTTTCCGGTTAAACCAACGTCCCCAAAAACTTATTTAAATTTAGGAGATAATTTATTTAGACACGTGATCACTGAACAGTCGTCTCAGTACGCCCTTAAACACTTCCTGCTGATCTAGTCCGGTTAAGCCATGTGCTGATAAAAATTGTCCGGTTAAAGAGATGTTATTCCCGCCGAGTGTGGTCCGGTTAGGAGGGAGTCCACTGTACTACAGACACCCCTGTCATTATGTCATGAAGTATTATTAAGATAATGTGGTTTTCAAGTAAAGATAAAATGCAGCAATAAAAAATTCTAACTAGCCAATTGGGTTTTTTTTTCTAATGAAATCTTCCGCAGATGTGTATACATCACCATTGGCTCTGGCTCCCGAGGCCACGGAAACGTCATCGTGGCAAAATCGTGAACATCTCCCGCGGCCCTGAAGACATCATCATCGTCTTACACGGTCACGTAAATGAGAAAAGTCTTGCGCGATTGCGGCAAAATCATGAAAATTCCTGAATTTGATAGCAAAATAGAGACTAAATCCCGACTTTTCAAGACCATTTTGAGATTCAATACTTTTTGACTACCAAACACCCTAAAGAAAGGACCATGTGGCCCTAACTTTGTCTGCTACGACCACCGACTAAGCCAATGGCTAATCGGTGGCTCGGTTTTGGTCCAAAAGGCCATCATATAGTTTAAGTTGAATACACTTACATTGCCATACTGAGAGAAATAGTTTTTAATGTCGTCATCTGACAATTCTGTTGATAGACCTCCAACAAAGATCTTTCCATGCCTTGCCTTAGCTTTCTTTGGGTCGATCTTTTTGTTGTTGATGACATGTTCCGTATTTGCAAGGACCTAGAAATAATAAAATAAAATATTTAATAGCAAATCCAAAGGAAGGTTAATACCCTAGTCTCAATACAATCCAAGCCAATCTGTGGAAAGGTGAAATTAGTGAACAAAGTGGTACACAAAAAGCAAACATTCAGCTGTGGATAATCATCAGACATTTCAGTAGCAGAACTGGAAAAAAATTATCATCATATTGTTTGCTTTTTGCTCTTCTTTGATCTTAGCTCTTTAATGATTGACCATTGGCAGATCAATTTAGAAAGAGATATTTATTGTAGGTACATTTTGTGTATTATAAATAGAAACAAACTACAACAATTTACTTCTCTATTTAAGAACATGGGAATTTTAAATTTGTAGTCTTGTAAAACTTTCTCTGAAACCATTAAACGTACCTACAACACTTCAAAATTAGCTTACTACAATACTTGTTATTTAAAGCTCTCTACAATATTGTTAAGAAAGAAATTTTAGCATGTCCCACCATGAGACATATGGTGAGATTATATTACATTTATGGGAAATTAACCAAAAGGATGGTTAAGCCTTTGAAAACAAAACCATGTAAAAAAGGTAGCCTATTTACCAGATTTTTACACAAAAGCAAACAGTCAGTCGTGGAATATCATCAAATTTGTCAGTAGCAGAACTGTATAGATAAACTATCATCATAGTTTGCCTTTGTCCTCAACTATTAAGGAAATTGGTACGTAACGTACGATTGTACCTACATTATTACCTTACAAAAATGTATGTATGTTATAGGCTAACAAAAAAGCGTTACTGATATTTTGTACATTTTGCAATACTATTTCAAAAACTGAATGACAACAAGACTTTTTATGACTTGTATTTTACTAAAAAATATCATTAAATTTATTAGGAGACATAAACTGAATAAATTTGTAAATTTAAATTGACCCAAACACTTTGTACAATAGCGTACTTGAAAATATATTTGTTAAAGGGAAAAGATCACTAGCACAGTAAAAATGTTAACTAGCTTGAATAATATAAAACCAAATTTGTTTTGAACCAAAGCAACATCAGTTGTGGATATAGCATCATTAGCTTCAGTAGCAGAACTGGAATATATTTGTCATCATTTTGTTTGCATATTGGTCTTATAAACATTCTTCAAAATTTAATTTCACATTATTTAGGTCTTTAATGCTATTTTATTTTACATTTTAAATTTTTTATTAAAGTTTTAAATGCTATTATCAAACAGAAACAAACATTAAAAAACATTCAAAATGGAGATGTCCGTTAAAATAAATAAATAAACATTTAACTGTGATTTTGAAACATGAAATTCTACTAAAATGAGATTTAAAGTAGGCCATGTTGTAGGTAATGGATCTGATTCTGATACGTACTAAGCTGACAACAAATTTACCTTTTCGATTGCTTCGGCACTTTTAAATACAATGAATGCAAATCCCCTTGATCTGCCAGTGTTGGGGTCTGTCTTCACATTGATACTTTCTATTTCACCAAAGTTGCCAAAATGATCTCTTAGTTCCTCTGCAATCATAAAAACAAGTTTAGTGACCAAACCAATTATCATACAATACAGTGAATGTTAATTAATTAAAATAAAAAAGGATATGACAAAGCTCTTTACAAAATCATTATCGTGAAAGAAAACCAGAATAACTTGCAGACAAACAGAAATTGCCCCAAGTTGTTTATTATACAGGGTGTCCCGGAACTCTATACCAAAATTTTTGAGCATTGTTCCTGAGTTAGAAACATATGTAAATACCATATTTAAATTTCCAGCAGTCCTGATTTACTTACTCAGCCGCCATTTTGTTTTTTTTTCACTTATTAATTTTTTTCTTAAGAATGGTTTAACATACAAAATTGAAACTTTGCACAAACATTTATGACAACTAGACAAAGCTAGCAAAAAATGATGACAATTTTCCAAATTCATAAAACAAAATGGCAGCCATTTAAAATTTTGTTTCTTAAATAGTTAAAAAACCGTTGATTTTACACAAATTTTACAAGAATAACTTTTAAAAGGCAATTTCATTACAAATCGATCGATACCTTAGTTTTTAAGATTGGACCGTCCGATCAATTTGTAATAAAATTGCCTATAAAAGTTATTCTTGTAAAATTTTTGTAAAATCAACGGTTTTTGAGTTATTTAAGAAACCAAATTTTAAATTGCCGCCATTTTAATTAATAAATTTGGAAAATTGTCATAATTTTTTACTAGCTTTGTCTAGTTGTCATAAATGTTTGTGCTAAGTTTCAATTTCGTACGTTAAACCATTCTTTAGAAAAAAATTAATAAATGAAAAGAAAAAATGGCAGCTGACTAAGTAAATAAGGACTTACGGACAATTTGAATTTGGTATTTACATATGTTTCTAACTCAGGAACAATGCTCAAAAATTTTGGTAGAGTTCCGGGACACCCTGTATCAACTGGATGTTGTATCAGCAGCCGATGTTGTATCAACTGGAGACTACAACAGATCAACCTTACCCTTAAATTGTTAACAATTTATTACACTTACAATTTCCATCATTCAGCTTAGGCCCCGTTTATGCACCAAGAGCAGGAGCAATTTTCAACACCATTGAGTTAAATGGGGCTGTTTATGCACGAACAGCGATAGCGGTTGACCTCCCGCTGCGGTTTCTAATTCGCCCGCTGTGTAGTTAGAAATTGCAGCGGTTGCTTTGGATGGAGCAGTTTTCAACTACATTGAGTCAAATGAGACTGTTTATGCACGGCGGGAGCGGCTGCAGCCAGGATTGCCAACTTGACCCACACGTACGTGCACTTAGGACAAATAGTTGTGTTAATTTTTTGGCAGAGTTTGAGTTGGCAAGATTGTGTCCCCCTTCCATTCTCCGTTGACCAACCGCTATCGCTACCACAATTTTGACAAAATTTTCACAGAGGGAGCGGGCCCGCTATCGCCCCGCTCGCGCTCTTGGTTCATAAACTGGGCCTTATGTACAAGAAACAGATGATAATTGTAAGGGGCGTTGCCAACAAAAATTGTCTGAAGAAAAATCTACTAGGCTAAAACCTATACAATTTTCACCAATTTAAAACAGAACATGTCGTAGGCTTTATCAGGGCCATCTAGCATCAAAAACAGAATCCCTTATCAGTTCAAGATGGCACTGAATACATGTAAATAATAAATTTAAATTAGCCTAAGTAAAATCAACCAATTATTAGAATTAAGTATGAAACAAACAAAATACTCACTGTCTGACGTTTCCCAGCTTAATCCTCCAACAAACAATTTCCTGTAAATACAAAAAATAAACTTAGAGGATATTTCAAATAAAACAAGTGAGAAGTCTTGTCCTTAACCATCTTTTTTAACAGTTGTAAAAAATGTTTTAAATGTCCTTGATAGGTTTTAACTATCTAGATAATGGAAATTTTTCTAATCCCAATAAAAGTACTAAACTTATAAAGTGAATATTAAGAATACAAAAATAACTGTGGTTTTTGACAAAAAAATTCCTCTAATGGTTGAGAATTTACACAAAATTACAACTTATAATAACAAAATGTACCAAATGACCTTAACTACAACAATGAACAACCATAAACCTCCATTCTCAGGGAGACAACTAACAAGACACTCTGAATCAACTAGAAACTAATTAGTGGAAGCGCACGATCAGCAGAGAATCTTGCAATTTGGGATAAAGGTGACAACGCCGTTTCATAATTGAACAGTAGCCAAGTTTGCAGCCGATAATTGAACACTTTTAACTCCAGCTAGAACTCAAATGAAGATAATCCTGTGCGATTAATAAAGGGAACAAACTCCGTATGTGAGAAACTTTTTGCCAAGAACCACATGTTAAAGGATAACACACTATTTTTAAAGATGGACAGGACAAAACTACTCCCCTTACTCCTAAAAATTAAGTGAGAAAATTTGAGGATCAAAAAGCAAAATGTCAAAAGCAATTAACTAAAAACAAACATTTAATTTACTGTACAAATACAATCAAAATTACACATTTTTCTAGACTCTATGTGAATAGTTTAACAGCTCCACTATGAATCAACTCGTCATTTGGAATCTGCAAAGAGTTTAAATGATCAACGTAACTGTACGAGGAAGCTGGACAACTTTAAGTTAGCTTAACTTGTGGCCAACAAACAAGGAAAACTTTTACTTGTTAGAATAAAGTTATGGCCACAAGATTTTCTAACTTAATGCTAATTTCCCAGGAATAAATACCATGGGGGCGTTCCACAGTAGCCAGCGTCCCAACAGCTTCATGTCACCTGGGGAAAGGAATGCAGGTTAGTGCACTCAAATATAAAATATCCAGGGTCCCTACAGGGGGATAAAGCAATTAACCTAAACGTGTCATCAACATGGTGACTAAACTCAATCTCTATACTGTACTTCGGAATTGTCAAGGAAATCATTATTGAAAAAAACTGACACATTGAGCAGAACTAAAGCTTTGTATCAAGGGTATATTTCAGCAATATAATTTAATTAATCGCTATTAACTAAAAACAATGTTTATGAAGGTCACCAAAACCCAAGTTATTCCATCGAACAAAAAAGTTGTAGTCAAAATCACAGACCTCTAGATTAAGATACTTATTCAAATATACCTAGATGGTTTAGTTGCACTTGTTTGCCAGTATCAACCATCTTTGTTCTTGATACATTTTTAATGAGAGAAAATGTATCCTAGTATGAAACTAATTTCTAGCCTTTTATATCACAGAAATGAAATTTACCAACATATCACGTGTATCACCTAGTGAAAATTTTAAGCTTGTCACATGTAGCCAAGAAAAAGACAAATCAATCGATTAAGATAGTAGTAGGTACAACAAATTCTGATCTTTAGGAGCAATGGAACTTTTAGTTTCTAGACTCTTGGACTTTACAAATATTTCGTGTAGCTTTCACTAATCTAGTAGAGTTTAACCAAATACATATGAAACGCCCAGTGTCTTCATGTATTCTAAGACCACATTAGGAGACTCAATTAATCAGTTCAGCCTCTCCTACAAAACAAAGATGGTTGAAACTAACAAACCACCAGAAAGAATCTGATTAACACTGAAAATTGTTCACATAAAAATATACAGATTTGACATCTAGGCCTATGCACACAAATTAAATAGGCCTATATAGAAATCTAGGAACCATGAGCACTTAGATGTTGTGCAAAAATGATTAAAATAACAAGATTAACATTCCTGTAATTCAGAGAAAACCTTGAGTGAGAAAAATGTTGCTAAAAAATATCTCATTCAAAACTGTAATTTGTATAAATATAGAAAGATTCAAAAACCCTTTCAATAACATTGTGGTACAAATTGCAGATATAATAATAATAGACAATAACAAGATTTAAAGCAATATAATTCTATTATTTAATATACAAGCCAAAATGAGTTTAAATGTATAGAATTAGGCCAAAGCCAATGGATTATTGGAACGCTTTAGGCCAAGGTTTAACTACATACCTTAAGTGTATTTTAAAATGGTACAGAATACAATCAAAGTACCAGATAAAAATAACTTAGTTCTATCTTGTTACAGAGAGAAATTAAAAAAAGGTCTAAATGGGTTTAACTACTCAGTACCCCCGATTTACTTAGAGAACCCTAAGTAATAAGGACATGTATGTCAATGTAATGCAATTTTTTGTTTTCAATTTTTTTTTAACTTAGGTAACTTTATTGTCAAGATGTAAATTGATTAATAAAAACAAATATTCTACTCACAGTGAAACATATAATCACTAGAAAAATTCAATTCTTACAAGAATATTTTTTTCTAATTAGGCCTAACAAATAAATCCGACAATCAATTTTATATAATACTTCCTGAATAGTTTTGACACTAAAAAGAAAGCTATACAACATTGCTGATTAATAACAAGATTGTACCGGTATATCTATGGTTAAAAAAGGGCACATAAAATAGTTTTTATCCCAGCAAAGCACTCGTGTTGGAAATATATCAACATTATTCCAGCATATAGGTACACTATTAAGAGTATCTGGGTTTGAGGGTCTACAAAACTAATGAACCTACAAAAATTTAAAAAAAGCATCATTTTATTTAAAAATAAAATGGGCCCACAACTCTGCAACTTACTAAGTTAGAGTCGCATAGGACTAGCTGGGAATAAAATGGATCTAAAGATGTCTAGGCCGTGTCAAGTTTCTACAGGCTACTTGTGCTCTAAAAGGAGAAATTATTGTTCACTATTTAATTTGCATAGATTAATATTGGTAGTACACCATTGGCCCCATTTCACAGAAACACCACAGTAACAGTGATGTAACTATTATTTGGAGATACAACCACAATAAATTAAAATAGAAAACGAGAAAAACTTAACGAGAGCCTCCAATGCTAAGATAAACAGCTTTTATGCCTACAGATGATATTAATTTAAAGAAATGTTGAAGGTGTATAATTAACAGTAGGCTATATTATGTAGCTATTCAAATGTAGTGTAAAACTGATTAGCCACTTTAACCTGACCATATCTCAAGCTTAATGTGTGTAATGAACTATATTTAAGTTTTCTTTTATAGGTACTCCTTTCTCAAAGAATTTTTAATTTAAAAATTCAGTTCTATGCAAATTGCTTCAAACTGAGTGTAGTGCCAGAATATGACTCACTGGAGACACAGTAATCAGTGACTACAGTATAAAAACACTAGGTGAGAGTGTATAAGTTATGAGCCATTTCCAGTGAGAACTATATAAATGAAGTTGTAGTTTTAAACTAAACTAGATTTCTCGAATCAGATAAAAAAAATTACAATAAGGCTAGAAGTAATTAAAAATTAAAGTGGCCATTACAATGTTTGCAAAGCAACTCCACATTAAAAAATAACTTTTAACAAACAACACTTCTCTTGTGGTACGGTGGGCAAAATAATATTTAACTGGTTCTAGTGCTAGGCGATAACAAATCACCGGAAGTGTACAACCAATTGTAGGAGGCCCTCTTCTTAACGGTTACACCATTTCCAATGATTACAATAATTAATTACACCCACTTACTGTAATTAATGATTACTCCAATACTTTTCTATTTAACACTTACTTTTATTTCATTAAGTTGGAAACATGCGAGCATATTGTTTATTGTAACTAGAGTACGCAGTAAAATTCACAAGGGTCCTTACTCACAATTTAAAAATTAAATTTAGGAATCATACAAGATTTTCCACAATCATGGGCTATTTACATATTTTAATGACGAAGGTAAGGGTAACGATCTTACGCTGTATGCGGGAGCAAGTTGTTGTCACAATAAACAACGGTAATAGGGACACCGCATCGATGGTTCCACATAAAATCCATAGACTCTAAGCAGATTGGATGTCAAAGTAATTTCTGTACAAAATACTAGCATCGAAAAGCTCAAGCACCAAGTCAGAAATACATCCGATTGCAGAGGAAAGTTCCTGTGAAAATTAGACGATCGCGGAAGACGATGATGCCTACATCAGCAGATGTTCACGATTTTGCCATGATCACAGGATATTATAAATGTATCTCGGTGACAGTGGGAGCTAATTACAATAGTGCTACAACCAGTCAGTAGAGGTATACGTTAGTGAATGTGCCTCAAGTTTGCACCAAATTTATGACACAACAGCTAATACTACTTTAAATTTGCAACTTTATTATAATAACAATAGTGTGTTATGTGTTACACGTTACGCTTAACAGTTCTAATTTAATATGCAATTCTAACGACATTGTAGGCCTATATGATGGCCTAAGTTAACTCAATGGATTCATAGTTTCACTAGCCTAAGCTACATATCAGCGGTCCCCTAACTTAACAGCCCAGCGACCCTCACTCATCTAGGATTTAATTTGTCAATCGGTTCAGTAGTTTCGGAGGAGTAATTGTCACAAAAATCCTGCTTGCGTATTAAATAAGTATAGATGACCTGCCTATCAATTAATATTACTTACTGACATTTTATAATTACTATTGTTATTACCGTGGGCTAAGACAAACATAATCGGTATAAAAGTAATAGGCATGTATTTTAGTACCTAGGTAAAAAGAGCTTACAAAGTTTTATTCCAATATCTCAAGCCATTTCAATATGGCGGCTATTTGAAATCTTTAGTGCCAAATTTCATAAAACCCGCAAATATTAAGAAAATTGTTCTTAGAATAAAAAAGACGAGAGCACGCCCCGTGGTCGAAAAATCGACCAAAAGTATGTTTTGTGCAAAATTCTCTTTTTTCACCCCACACTGTAAATAAAA